CAGCCCTGCCCGGGACAAAGCAGCACTGCAGCCCCCAGCTGCTGTCACCGCAGCCATTCCTCAGGGACCCCTGTGGCACTGCCCCCCAGGTCACCGCCTGCTCCATCTCCTCATCATCCCTTCTCCAGCTGCTGAATGCTTGTCTGCCATGGTCCCGTGGTCCCTGCCATGGTGCATCCCCTCTGTGCTGGCTGCACTGAGGAGTTTGTGTCAGGAGTCACTTGTGAACACTTGTGAACAGATGTCTCCTGACACAAATGTCATTCAACTGTAATAAAAACCAGATAGTCACAAAGCATTTAAACCCCAGAGAGTTCTGGAGCTCTCCTGGTGCCCGGGGAGGATGTGAATGGGAGGTCTGGGCTCTCATCAACACCATGCTTGTTATTCATGGCCAGTGAGAGTTGTGGTTTCATAGCACAGGAGTAGGTATCATTTTAAAAGATTACTTTTGCTCTGCCTGAGGAGTCTTGGAAGGCAGCATTGAAAAAACAATTTTGTCACCACTAGACCTAAATCCATTATTAAGATGGGAAAAACTTGAGTTGTTCAAAAACAAAAAAGCCAACACTGCTGGTTTAAAGGACCCATGAGATACTTTCCTTGGAGACTTCAGACTTCCCCTCTTAAGCTGTTCTCTTCCTCCTCAAGCCTTGTGCCCTTACCCTTGTACTCTGATTTCTCAAAAGACTGTCTGGGGATGCCAGGGACAATAAATGCTAAGGGGTTGGTGGTCTTGAATAGATATACTGTTCCTACTACAGTTCAGGGACAGTATCCTATTGTTCCTTCTCCTTTTCCCACCTGCCCACTGTGAGTGGTTATTTTATCCTTCCATTAGGGAGCTTTAAAACTTACATGGGTACCTCTGTTTTCATTCCAGGTACAGCAGCAGAAGCAGCAGCACCCCATGAGAGGAAGCCAAGGCCAGCAAACGTGTATGCCAGGGCAGGGCAGCATCCCAATGCCCTTCTACAACAGCCCCATGGTGTTCTCCCAGGCTCACCCCATTGCCGTGGCTGCACAGGTGCCCGCTGACAGCACTGAGAGGCAAACACCAGCTGAGTACAGCCAGGACAGGAGCCTCAGGTACCAGAGCCCTGCTGGACCTTCCTGGGGCAGGGACAGGAACAGCAGCAAGGGGGGCAGGCGTGGCTGGGCTCAGGGCTTGGGGTGCCACAGCCAGAGTGAGGATGTTCCCTCTGTGGGGTGAGCCCAGTGTGCAGGCAGGCAGGGTGCTGTGCACATCCTGCTGTGTCATCAGGGGCCTTAAATCCTCTTCTCACCATATTTCCATAAATTATTGTAACCCTACCTCTGCCAGTTTAAAGTCAGTCCCTCATGCCCTTGCCAAAAGTCCCTCTCCCGTTCTCTTTTAGCCCCTTTAGGTGCTGGAAGGTGCTATAAGATGTCCCTGGAGCCTTCTCCAGTCTCAACAATCCCAATCTTCTCAGCAAGTACTCACAGGAGAAGTGTGAGGTGATAAGAAGCATCCTATTTCATTAGTTTGTTTTCTAGGTAGTGGTTTCATGGAGGTAGTGGTTTCTAGCCTGCTTTCAAGGAGCATTTTCAAGGAGTTGTTTCTAGAGACTGACAGGATCGTGGACCCTGGACCTCTCCCTTCCCTGACCATCCTCTGTTTTCCTTCCACCCCAGGATGCTGCTGGATCAGTCCATCCAAGCCATGATGCCCACAGCCAACAGCAGCTGCCAGCCCGTGCAGAGCAGTGCCAGCAGGCAGCAAGGAAAGTGAGTCTCTGTGTTCCCTGTTTTCCTGCAGTGCCTTAGCAGGACCCTTTATGGCATTGAAAAAGACATGAAGAAACTTGTACCTGGTCATGCAAACACAAACAGTCTCAGTCTGTAGTGAAACAGAAGTTTAGCCCGTTAGGAAAAAATGAGAATATTTTTTAATTACGAAGAACTTTATGATAAATGAAGTGCATTTAAAATTAACTATTTTCTGGCCTTTGCAAAGCATAAAATGCTTGACCGAGACATAGAAAAAAATGTACAACCTTAAAAACCTTAATTTTCAGTCTGTGCTTTGTGGGCAGAAGAGAATCAGGGGCCAGGGGATGCAAGGTTTGATCAGCCCTGCTCCAGGCAGGTTCTGCAGCAGCTGGGCCCCCCAGTGCCCGTTCTGAGGGAGGGTCTGGGTGTGTGTTCTCATGCCTGGTTTCCCCCTGTGGCAGGTTTGTTGCAGAGCAGCAGAGCCTGGCTCCCCCAGCAGCACAGCCGGCCACCTGCAGCCCCGCCCGGCCTGCAGCCCCGCCGCCCATCTTCTCCCCGTCCCTCCTTGTCCCACACTCCAGCTTCACCTCCCACCAGCCCAGCACACCCCTGCACCTGCACCAGTGGCCACAGCAGCAGGTTCAGCAGCACCGCCTCTACCTTCAGGTACTGGAGCAGGAGCAGCTTCCTGAGGGATGGGTTGGGGTTTTTGAAAGCAGTGGGGCTTATCTGGCTCATCCAGCCTGGTCAGGGCCCTTGCACATCCTCTATTCCCATTGTATCTCCACACAGCCAGGTGCTCAGCCTTTCCAGGCTGACTCTGCACCTCCTCAGGGCCATATTTTCGACCAATTCCGTTATCACACAGTGCACAGAAGAAATACCCAGTTTTTCAAACATAGCTTTTCATGCAGAGGAGCTCTGGTGGGAAGCTTGCTGTAGTCATGAAAAATGATAAGAGAGAAGGTCTTTGGGAAACACACCTCCTGCTGTTACATCTCATCAGAGCAAGGTTTTTATCAGCTGCCATCACAGTTTTCTTTTAAAGAAGGGGTATTTCACAACACGCATCTCTGGACTAGGTGATTTTGGCTTTTTAGCACACAGTTTACATCAGTACATGCTGAACTAGTGACACCACCAAGGAGAGGGGTTGTTGGAACTAATAATTCATCAGTAACACACTCTCCAAGCCTTGCCTGGATGGCAGAGGTTAAGTTACAGTCCTCCAGGCAAAGGTAGAAAAGAAAGCAAGAGGAGGAGGTTCAGCTGAAAGCAGCCACACAGCAGGACTGGATTTAAAGTGAGAAATGAATTGCTGAATTCAGGAGCCAGGAGCTGTCCCTGCTTTGGGTGAGTCCTCATGGGCTGCATTGCTGTCCTGAGGACCAGCAGTGTGCACAGCAGAATGATGATGCTGGAACAGATAAACAGCTCCAGGGCCACAGTAAAACAGAGTTTGATGACACAGTGCCTTTAACAGGGGTGAAACAGCAGGTCCAGGTCTTTGAGGTACCAGCCATGGGTGGGTATATGGTTACCCTAGGACCTCTTCCTTGGTTGTCTGAAGATCTTTCCGGTGAAAGATTAAAGTTGCACATCCTGCAGATTGTACCTCCAAGTAGCTTCTGGAGATGCCCATTCCTGCTGGGCTCCCCAGGGGCCTGTTAGGACAGATGGGTCTGAGCTCTCCAGGCATTGTTGGTTTTGCTGACAGCAGCAGCATCCTGAGGGGCACAGCTCGCACCCTCAGGTTCAGGACTTGGGGCACACTCTGGGGCATGAGTCTCAGCATCAGCAGGAGGGACAGCTGGGTGCTGGGGCAGGTCTGACTGCTCAGGTTTGTGTCTCCCAACAGATGCAGGGTCCCGAGCTGGTGCCTGGGGCTCCGACGCAGCGCATTTTCCAGCCGCCCCACGCCCCGCAGCAGAACCCCCTGAGCTACTTCCTGCACCCCCAGCAGCAGAGCCACCACACACAGGGCCAGCCCTGCAACCTGCCTGACCTGCCCGAGATGCAGCTGCCCTGAGGTCACTTGTGGGGACAAGGAGCACACGGCGCAGCCGCCGCGCCCGGCGCGCACGAGAGCACGGAGCTGTCAGAGCACGGCACCGGAGAGGTCGGGCTCATGGGGAGGTGTGCCTGCAGGGATGGATGGTCTCTGACAGGAGTGCATGGCTGCAGGGGCCTGCTTTGGGGGGATTGCCATGCAGCCAGATGCATGGGATGTATTCCATGATGCTGTTCCAGCAGCAGGGTGTGCCTGGCCCAGCACCATGGTGCCACTGGGAGTGGTGCCTATTGCTGCAGGGACAGCAGGTATCGGCATCAGGCCGTCATGGAGCTCGGTTTGCAATGGAAAACAACCTTTTTCCATTCAGGACTTCAATGCTGAAAGTCACTGTGAATTTAAGCCCAGCATTTGGAGCACATAGACTGTACCAGTCCACAGGACACCATTGGATTTCTGTGTACATAACTCGTTTTGCTGTAGTAGGTCCATTGTGAATTCTTTTTCCTTTTTCTATACCTCAGTCCCGCAGGTTTTTTTTCCAGGAGTTTGGATAATGCTGCTAATTTACATAACACCACTTTTGCCTGAATTTCTTACTGTTGTTATACCAGCTCACATCGCAGCTAGTTCAATATTTGTCGTGTTTTATTTTTGGTTAACAAGTGAAGATAAATTTGTATGGTTTTTACTCCCTGTAGCCAAATATTTTTCAGGTTACAGACAAAGAATCTTTACTCCTTTTTTTTTGTTGTTGTTTCAAGTGATGTAGTTGTAAATGTTTCTATTCGTAAAAACAAACAAACAAACATGCATAGAACAGCATATGACAGCAAACTTTGTGGTTTTGCTAGGTCATATTTCAATTTGGCAAACCCAAAATGTATAATCACAACACACGATGTTACAAGCCCATAGGGTCAGCAATAAATTGTATTTTTGTAAATTGTCACTTTTTAACTGTAAGTTTATATTTATGAATTGAAAAGCCAGTTTATTCCTCAGTGGGTGTATAGTTAAGTGTCCCTACTGTTTGTGTCTTTCCAAAGGAAAACTTTAAAAGTACATTTTTGGAGTGTTAGTAGCTGAGTACTAACTTTGGGCATTGTTAGAGCCCAAATGTAGATGGGTTTGGCCATTACTATAAACTTTGCAAGGCAGTGAAGGCAGTGGTTAGTTAGGACCAGGGAGCAGAGGACCATTAGGACCAGAGCAGTAAAGCTCTAGCTGGCAGACAGAGCAAGGCTTAGAGAGGAGTTAGTTCCTGATGTTTAGTTCCTAATGTCTGTTGAAACCAAGTGAAGAGTGCTTGGTTTTGCCTTTTTTTTTTTTTTTTTTAATATGGTGTTTGGGGGTTTTTTTGTTTCCTTCTTTTCCTTCTGCACACCTGTTTCTGGGCCCTTGCAGCACTGCAGCAGCTGGTGTTCCTGGTGTTCCTGGCAGGGCAGCTTTTGGCACAAGCAGCTGCCAGTAGCCCTGTGTTTCAGAAAGGGGCACAGCAGGGCTCCCCAGCCCCCAGGGGCCGTTCCCAGCAGCTCCTCCTGGGCAGGGGATGGGGTTTTGCTGTGCCACATTGCCTGGGGCAGTGGCAGTGGCAGGACAGGCTGCTGGAGCTGGGGTCAGCCAGGAGCTTTCAGGGACTGGTGCAGGGCCCTGAGGTGCTTTGGTGTTTGGCCAGGGCAGAGGTGGATTTGTGAAAAAGCTGTGCCAACCCCTGGCTATTCATGGGTCCCCTCCCTTGGGCAAAAGCAGCTGCATGGTTGGCTTTGACTGGGACACTGAATGCACAGCTCCCAGACACGATGGATCCTGGGTTCAGAGCAGCATAAAGACATTTTTCCCCACATGCAGCGTGCTGGGGAATGTGGCTGCTCACAGGATGGAGGCAATGAGGTGCCCACCAGCCTATGTCCAATACCAGGGCTCGTGCCTTGTCAGCACAGACCCTGCCTGGGCCCCTGCCCACACAGCACATGCAGCCTCTGGGTGCTTGGACACTGAGCCAGCCCCTCCATTTCAAACCAGGACAAGAAATTGTGGCTACAGCAGAGCCATGGGCCAGGGCCACCTCACTGCTGGTACTGGGATTTGGAACACCTGCCTTTGTGGGGCAATCTGGGGCTGAAATATTATCACCTGGGGCTTCCCTGCTCTGCAGGTTTGTTCTGCAGGAAGGGCCAGCACAGAGCCTTCAGGGTAGGAAACACTTGTTTTTAAAGCACTCTTAGATTTAGGGTCTCCTTTCCCCATTGTAAGGCAGCTGGGTTGCTCATGAGGATGCAGTAGGAGGGAGTTGTATTTTTGGGAGTTGTTAGTGGGATTTTTTTTTCCACCATAGCCTTGGCACATAACATTAGAGGGGAGGCAAACATATATCTGTGTTAGGGCTCCAGCATTGCACAGTTTGTGGCTGGCTGGAGGGAAAGGCTGTGGTTTCCCTGGCTTCCCCATTAAATCTGCATCAGCCCAGCATCCCCATGGCTGCTCTGCAGTGTCCCAGCACCACACAGCCCAGCCATGGCAGGTGGCACTCACAGACATCTCAGAGGTGGTGGTGGATGGGGTCAGGGCCTTGAGGGGTGTATTTTTTAACAGGGCTTGGTAGGGAGGAAGCTGAGGCAGAGCAGTTTTCTGGCATTGCTGTGGCATTGACAGTGAGTCCTAAAAATAAATGGGGTTGGGAAGGGGTTCGGGGGGATGTGGGGGTGCCAGATGGGGCCCAGCCCAGCTGATGGCAGCCCTGGGCTGCAGGGACACGGCTGGGGCACAGCCCCCGCTCACAGCTCCCAGCCAGGAGCACAGGAGTTTGGTGAGGATGTTTACATGTTAGACCAGCCTTGCTAAAAGCAGAGACCTAAAAATGCACTTTATCACGTGCCCCCTTATTCTCAGAGCCCCCCCAGCCACTGGCCTCGCTGCTGGTGGGTGGGGGCTGCACAGTCCCAGGCTCTGCCTCAGGGCAGGGCCTTGTTTTCTCAACATGTTCCAAAGGACAAAATCCCACCGACCCTTTCTGGGGCTTGCTTGGTCTTTGCTCAGTCTGCCTCCAGCCAAGGGCAAGGCTGAGTCAGGGCCAGGGGGGTTTTGCCTTATATTGTCACTCTCAAAAAAACAGATGGATAAAATTGTCTTTATTCAGGTTGATTTGTATTTGTTTACCTCGGTGTTAGCTATGACCTGTGCTTTTATGACTCATTTGGAATTGAGGGTTGCTGGTGGGTTTGGTTCATGCCCCCCCAGCCTCCTACAAGAAAACAAAAGTGTGACTTGTTGGTGATGAGCAGAGGGCAGGGACGTGACTGATGGCAGCAGGGTTGGCCTCCAGTGTTGGTGTTGACCTATCAGTCATAAATGTTCTGAGGTTTTCTAGTACACAAGTACCTATATACCATGACTATATATAGATATACATATTTTTAATGTACATTTATATGTATGCAGATGTATATCTATATATAAATATATATAGGCCACACAATTCCAGACCTCTGAAAACACAGGCAGCTTTAAATAATAAAGTCTTGCACTTTTAGCATATTTGTACATATAAGCTAAAGCCTGGTGGGTATAATCAGGCTGATTTGACAAACACAATGAGGAGTTACTGTATATATTGTATATAGTCCATGCAAGTAAAAAAAAAAGAAAATAAGAAAAACTCTAGAACTGAGTATAAATCTTGGTTTATTTTATATGATGTTGAATATAAATACATTTATAAATGTTATTATTCTTAAAAGTATTTTGTAATGGGAAAAAGTAAGTGTCTTATGAAGATGAACAGTAAAGATTTTATTCTTGTTTTGAATCTATGTCCCTGCACAGCTCCATTGAATTGGAGCCCATGCATTTTGACAAGCTTTAAACAGATTGTACATAGTATTTAAAAAAAAATTAAGAAGAAATAAAATAATACTTGTAGGACCTCTTACACACTATGTATCTTGTTATTCCCTGGGTGGTGTGGGTCTGTTAGGGATCTGATCCCTGCTCTCCAGGAGAGACAAGAGCAGCAGCCATTGTGTCCATGTGCATGGACAGCTGCAGGGATGGGGCTCAGGACAAGGACTGGGATTCCTGTGACCAGTGCCAGAGGCAATAGGAGCAACACATAAATTAGAAAGAACAAGGCATCAGGGTCTGCACACTGTGTTTTAATTTGGATGGACAAAGCAAGTGCCAGTACTCAGCAGCCCAGCACTGAAGCCAGCTCAGGCTTCAAAATCTGGGTCTCTATTTTTCCTCCTCCTCTGGGAGGCTGCTGTACCAGCAGGGGCTTTAGCTCGCTCCTTGTTTTGCAAAGCACTGACTAAATGTGGCTTTAACATGACCCACACTCTTGAAGGAACTTCCACAGCAGGCCATCACAGGAAATAATAATGCCTCAGACACAGAGGTTTTTTACTGAAGGGAAACAATATTTTATTTAACACTCCATTTGTCTTACAGTACCTCTGCATACAACAAATTGTATAAAAGCCAATCTGTCAACACAAACATGTGCTGCCGTCTTGGTAAGTGACAAAGCTATAGCAAAAATGACAAAATAGCCTGTTTTTCTGGAAAGAAACCAGAGTTATTTCCTTCTGTTTTAGTCCAGAGAACAACAGCAATCACAATCAAGAACCTTGTATGGTACAATTGGATGAGAAAATTCTGATAAAATCAACACACAGCAATTTCTTAGTCACTAGCGTAGCAAACTCTTCTAAAATTACATTATTATTTAGCCATTAGAGTGATGAACAAGTGGCTTGTTTTAGGAATGGATGGAAACAGAAAGTGATTTTTCTGTATCACATGGCAGCAGCCACTTCCACGTCCTGGAAAATGCTACCGGTTTAGTTACCATCAGTTGTCCCCCATGGTGGAAAGAGCTGGTACTTTTATTATTTGAGCTATTCCCTGCCCTGAGCTGGGCACACAGAGGCCAAGCAGGCAGTTCCTTGTGGGGGTCAGGGCTGTCACTGGTCACCCAGAGCACAGGGAGCAGCCAGGCTCCAGAGCAGCACATTCCATATGGCAAGAGCAGGAACTTCCCAGCTCTGCTGGCTGTGTCCCCAGGCACAGCTCTGACAAAAGGCATCTTAGCAACAATGGCCCAGCCACAAGCAGGGCAAACAGCACGTGGCTGTAGCAATCTACAGCTGTTTTGTACTGAATTATGCACCTTCATTTATTTCCTGTGACTGAACCTGAAAATAAAGGTGTAAAACTTCATGGAAACTTACAGAAAAAAAGTAACACAAGTGAGTGAAATGACACAACAGAATTCACTAAACCAAGCTGCTTCCTGTTCATGTGCACACCCAGCACCCTCAGGGGATGTGATGGGAGCCTGGGGCCGTCTCTGTACCACCACCTTCACCTGGCCAAGAAGCAGCACAGCCCAGGGATCTCTGTCCTTAACTGTGCAGGGCTGTGAAGTCAAGGCATCATTCTCCAGGACTGAAGGAAAGGAACGAGCTGCTGTTGCTCTAGCTCCACCAGTCCCAGCTAAACCTGCATCTATTTGTCAGCCTGTCTGGAGTAGGGATGGAAGGAGCTGGAATAGGAGAGGGAAGGAAAGAAGCTAGCCACTAACTCCAGAGCTCCTCTGTCACAAGCAGAGCTCAGCTTATGGTGCACTGAGGAAGCAGCTCAGCAAATAAAACCTCTGGGTTACACTCCTTGGAAATCATTGGCACTTGCTGCAGCACCTCTCCCCAGACAACCAGCCCATGATCCAGAGGTTCCAAAAGGAAAAACCTGCCAGCTGAGCCATTGCCTGAATGCTGCCAGCATCCATCCTGCTGACACTGGATGCCTGGTCACTGTGACTACTCTACCTGGATCAGCCTGCATCTGTATTACAGGGACAATTTAAAGACACCACCCCTTTTGGAAAAAAATATAAATAAATTTAACAAAAAAAATCCATGCAGTTAATAAAAGTTAGTGTTCCCCCCTACATCATCACCTTAAATCTATTTTGATATATGTGCTCTTCATACATGGATACAACATCTGACAAGAGCTACTGCCCAGCTGGCAAAGCCTCTGCAGTCTCTTGGGTGGGCACTAATAGAAAAGGGCATTGTACAGACTGAGCACCTTTTTACAGCCAGGTAACAAAAGGTTGCTGTACTCTGCAAGTTCCTTCACCTTCTTCTGCACTTCAATTGTCACATCTTGGCTCTCAATCAAAAAATTCCTTGAGTTTTAAGACTTTTATATCTCTGTTACTTTCATTAGCAAATAGTTTACAGCTTTGACTACTTGTTGACATAAACAATATCTCCCATAAACCTACAAAAAAAGCTTTTGGTAGGGGCAGCTGTATCTCATAAGGCTCCATTAATTTCATCATGGCTATTTGCAGAATTACTCACTGATCAAACCTTATCTGGATACATCCTGGACTAGAAAAACATCATCTGCTTTGTATTTCTGAACAACTTTGTGAAAACATTTTTAAAAGGTAATACAGAGTGGCCCTACCCATATCCACATAAATGGATAAATTCAGATTTTTTTTATTTTATACATAAAAATACAAATCAGCAGTATATTGTATCAGCTGCAATTACTTTGTGAAGGCTTCTGTAAAAAGCTTCCTCGTTCTCCACATATATGATACAGCTTTTGGACTTTTTCAGTCAAATTTTATTTTACATTAATACCTGAGAGTGTTGAGGAGAGTGTAAGACAAAATTCATAAATTTAACACCAACTGCAATGATGGCATTTCACAAAGTGCCTGTAATACAAGTCAGAAATTTGTTTTATTCTTCATTCACACTAGTATTGCACAAAAAGCCTCTGAAATATACCATCATCCCCATTCTGCTTCTTTAAAAAACATGCACATATAAAAATAATGCTGCTCTGCAGAGAAAGATTGTCATACAGGCTTTGGAAAGAGATGTTTTAAACTAGTTTAGCAAGACTCCCCAATTACTTTGCTGTTGTTGTTAAAATACAAGCTCTTACCTTCCTTCTCTAAATTCCTTCTAGCATCAGCTACCAAAGATTCAAGGTCAATATTTCTCAGCTTTTACACTGGCAGAGATTTCCTCCACAGGATCTCTATTCTATCGTATTTTATATATTAAAAATTTCAAGTCAGATTCAAGGGGACTTTCTTGTTGCCTTGAATCCTGACAGAGGGAAAATATTACAGCAGCAACAATCCACAGTGCTATAGAAAAGCAATAGCAATTACTGGGTTGAGATATGAACTCAGGGTAGGCAAAGAAGCAACTGCAATCTGTCCCTAAGCAGCTCAATAGTCAACACTCAGCTACAGAGGGCCTGTGCTTGGGCTTTCCAAACACCAGCAAAACTCCACATTTCATCAACATGCTCCTAAGAAGCCAACCATGGCTCCTCTTGCCAGACAAACTACAACCACCATGTGGTCAGAGTGATTCAGCCACTGCTTTCCCTTGATTTTAAACAATCACTATTAGTTTCTGCATCCTTGTGTAGTCTGGATGACCAAATAAACTTCCATCCTTTTCACCTTTTCTTTGTAGGAGGATTGGTATGAAAATGGGAAAGAGGGGCTGGAATCTACTGGAGTCCAGACCCATGGGTAACATCAAAGCAGAGGAATTGTGAGCAGAGCAACTTCCTTTTCTAATCTCATGGTCCTGTCATGCTACCACAGCCTCTGGTCTTAGTCTTCACCCTGCTTTGGCCCCAGTCCACAAGCAATGTGGAAATAACTAATTAATGTGGAAGACAACCTCCAAGCAGTTGACACTCCTTTAAAGTGAAAATGGAAAAAAGTCATTCCTTTTATCACAGTAATAGAAAAAAACCTGGAGAACACCTAGTGTAAGAGTGATTCAGACAGGTTTGCAACAGGTACACACATCCAGTATCTCCAAGCTATGCTGCATGTTTTAATAACATGGTAAAGGCAGTTCATTATTCAGTCCCTATTGTGGAGTGAAACTCATGAACAATGCAAGAAAGTGACTGTGCTTCAAACTATTTTTATTTACATTACATACCAGTAATCTGATACTTGAAGCTAATTCTTCAAACTTCATTTCCTATGTCAACACCAAACTTGATTTCCATAGTTACAGCCTTCATTTGTAAGCACTTTATGTGATTAATTCAGAATCAAATGTACAGAAAATTACACTCTGGTTCTTGCTTTAAGTTGTAAATTTTTAGCACTCTCTATTTTAGCTTTTATGTCATGAGGTTTTTCAAAAAATCTCACAAAGGCTGGCTCATTTAATAAGGATGCCAGAATCTGTTCAAAGGCAAAAGACCATTCATGGTTCCCTTCCAAACTCTGTGCTCTACTGCCTTCAGTCTGCTCAGAGCTGCTTTCCTCCTGCCTCTCTCTGGGCACCTCAGCAGCCACTTCTGTAACAGCAACTGGACTTGTGACAGGTGACATGGGACTCTGCAGCCTTCTGCCAACTTCTTCCATTTTCAGCAGGAGGCTGGTCACCACCGCGATGGCGCGGTACAGGAGCTCCTCCTCAGGATCCCCATGGAACAGATTGTAGAGAGTTTTTGAGAACTGGATGAACTGAGACTACAGAGAGATACAGAGGAGACTGCTCAGAGAAGAGCAACACAACCTTTCTGTTTCCCTGCTGCTGCCTGGCACCTGGTGCAGCAGCTCTAACAACAGCATGGACTAGCCCTGAGAAGCCTACGTGTGTCTCACAGTCCCTCCCTTGATACATCACAGCAGTTTTACAAAGCCACAGCCTAATGATTGATGTGAAGATTTGAAATTAAAGGGATCCTAAAAATCCTTCAGAAATATGGTAATAGGACTTAAAGGGTCCTAAAAGAGATTTAAATATGACTCAAACAGTTTACCTGATTCATTCTTGGTAAATCCTTGACATTTTCTTCTTTTTTAAGAAGTTCATCTTGCCATTGCTTCAGATATGCCTGAATGTCAACCTTCCCCTT